TTAGAGATGACAGATTTTTGACTACGTGTGCCTTCCTATCATTGTTAACATATAGTGAAGTTATCCTGTAAGCAATGACGAGGTTAGGCAGAAGATACTAGGCAAGGAGAGTTAGTTGACGAGGTGGTTTGGACATGAGTTATGTATGCCAAACCGCCGCCTACCATAATATATTATTCTGATTTGGGAGTTTGTGTGAATTTATTGAGTGGTGATTCCTGGCGTTTCAATGAGAGGTCATTACCGGTGGGAAAAACTCGGTGGAACTGAGGACAAATACTCAACGATGACACTGGGCGGTAATCGCGCTGTCGTGAACTGATAAAAGCTGGGAATATAGACCACAGGATTCCGACCCAACGGCTCAATGGTAACGTGCTGGCAGCTGAACCTAAAGGTCCGGGGCTGGATCCCTGGCGAGTTCATGGGTGCTCACTGCTGAGTTCCATACTAGAAAACTAAGGGTGGTCAGGCCTAGACTTAGGGTCAGTCAATAAAGCCTCTAATGTGGGTCTAAGGTCATGTGGAGAGGTGTACACTCCCTGGTTGGGACCCTCGAATCAGTAGTTGAAGAACCTTGGTGACATGGTTTAAAATTGGTAGTGATGGCGCAGATGCATTCACTTTTCAACGTCTTCGAAAGTTGGAGCATTTTAAGTTTTCTCTCATTCCACATAGTTTTGCTTACCTTAATATTGCTCTTTCTCTGCCCAGTTGTTCTTTGCATTCTGTTTTGATATGTGGCAAACTGAATCAACGCACCTGTCTGCAAGGTTCTACGTTGATTTTGTGTATCTGATATAGTCTGACTTGTCATTTTTACTATCTATCGGCAAGTACCTTCATCGACTGAGGTAACTGAGACAAGTTTGACACGTGTCTAGTCACCGTCTACCTCGATATACTGTGTTAGTGGAAGTAGGTCTAGGCTTAAAGAAGGTTAAGAGCTATTAAACTAAATATCTATGAATGAAGTCTCCGACTGCTGGTCTGAGCCGTGTAGTGAAATGTAAACTTCTTAGTCAAGGTATGCATGACAAAAGAAATCGTCGGGGAAATCCTCTAAAATCTAATGTAGTCTACTCGTCATTATTTTCTTGCCTCTCCTCTCTTACAACTTTCTACGACTTTTGATTTCATATTTTTTATATCTGATTCTTCATCTCTCTTTCTTGTATCGTGGTGTCCTGTGAAGCTTCGCAACTTGGACCGTTACTCTGTATGAGTTGGTATGTACACCTCTCTGTCAATGAGATTCGACTAAAGAGTTCATGATGAAGCGTTTTGACCTGGTGATTGTTGATCCACTCACACCAAACTGTACTTGCTTTAACCACATGTATTGTCTAAAGTGACTCAAGATTGCCATAAGCAACTAGTTCTTATCAGAACAGATGCTTAAAATGTGGAATTGCGATGTCACTCATATCTTACCAAAGAGTTGTATTTGAGTCGATATATAAATAGAAAGGAATCCAGCAATTTTACGGGAACAAATTTGATACATTCTACTTTCATTAGAGGTTTAGTTTAAGTTGTAGCTGTTCGACCAGCAATTCGTTTCACAACAAACAGAAAATCAATGTAGCACCTCGCACACAAGTGCACCAGTTCAAGTTGACACACTCCACAGTAATATGCAAAGAACAGGTGGATAGAATAAGTCATATCAGATTAGGCAAAGTTGTGTGAGAGAATGAGGATAACGGGTAGTGTGAATATTCAAGCTTTAGAAGACATCAAAGAGTGAATACATCTGCACCATTGTGATCGATGTTCAGTCATGTCACCAAGAGTCCTCCACCACTGATACCTATCATCTTGGGGACCCCAGTCAGGTAGTTCACATTTGACCACACAGCTCAGATCAACAGTAAGGGACTTTATCGACTAGTGGCACGTCTTACTCTAACCACCCTGAACTCTTTTCCAATCTACTCGAACTTCTAGCATTGGACATAGAGGTAGATGGTGGGTCGGCATGAGCAACACATGTTCAAGCCATATCAGGCGATAAGAGTTCACCTCATCAATCCACTTGCCTGTTTTGCCTAGTACCTTTTGCTTGACCTCAACATTGCCCATATTGTGATTCCACCACCATACATGAACAATTCTACGAAGACACCTGTGATCGGAACCTTGCATACCTTTATATCTTATACTCTTAAGCGTTAAAATCACCTGCCATCATGACTGCATCTGAAGGTTTACTTTCTGTAGCAAAGTTGACAGCCTTTCATAGAATTCATCCTTTGCATCATCCGAACTGCAGTCAGTAGGTGAGTAGGCTGAGAATACGAATAGGCATCGCCTAGTCTCACAATGCTTCCAAATCATTCAGTCGAACAGCACGTAGACGGCTGTTTACTGGTATCCAGTCGAGAAGCGCTCTTTCCGTCCTACAACTCAATGCTATGCCTACACCAACGAGTCGACGAGAACCAGCCATTTGGTCTCCGGATACACGTGATGTGGATTTTGGAGATTCACAGCACCGGTTAGATGACGTCAATTTATTGAGGACACTCGGATCCTGTAAAGATGTATCACAGACGCAGCATACATCCATGGCTAGAGACTTCAGGGTTTTGGTGAGTGATGTTTGCTGTACGATTTGGCATAGAGTTGAGTTGAAAGCTCCTACATAAGATGGATGCGGGGGTCTTAGAAGACTAGTAGTGATGTTTTGGTGGCTTTTATCCTTCCCAGCAGTTGCAAAATGAGAGGTTGGGGAAGGTATAAGAAGCACAGTATTAGCATCAGTTGTTGAAGGCAAAGGAGGGGACAAAGTTGAAGGGTATGAGTACTGTTTGATTGGGTCTTGTGTACTACTGGAAGTGCACGGTCGGCTGACACTTCCCGGTTGCCCACACCGTGGAAGGTTAGGTCTTCTTAAGGTATGTGAGAGAGGAGGAGTATGTGTGACCAGAGAGTCCATGGGACATGAGCTTGATATTTGTCACACACGGCCTTTTGCGGGTTATGGTTTTGAAGTTTGGTTGTTCTAACGCCAGCTAGAGAGTATGCATACCACGAGCACCGGAAAACCGAGGTGCAGGGAGGAGTGTTCTATTTTTGGGGTTGACCTCTTCTAACACACACTTACTTCCCATTAGGATGGCAGCATCAGCGTGACACTGCTGGTCTTCCAAAGGAAACACCTTACTACTGTCGCATGCCATCCAGCTAACAGTATGGCTTCGCCCTTGGACCCGGATCATAGTGTGGCAACTTAAGCTACAATAGTAACTGCTTTTCATCTTACCACTGTCCGACAGACGTTTCTGGTATGGTAGAACCTCTGGGAGACAAGCGTTCCGGCTCTATGGGTCATTGTGATGTTCGGGCCTGAGCACCACGCCAAGATGGTAGCTGTCGGCCGGTAGTCGTCCCAAAGAAGCATTATTAGTGCTTAGTCTCCCGTAACCGCGAGGCTGAGGCAACTAGCCTCCAGTTTGAAGCTAGAAGTGAACACCATTTATCAACCCTCAATATCTTCACTGGAGTGTTGAGCGATGCTTTAGGGCAGGGACTGGGAATCAACTTGATAACAGCCGTCTAGTAAAGTATGTAGTCATTTTTAATGGTTGCTGAAACAGAATATCACAGACCTGTGGGCTGTCTTAGATGCGAAGAATTAATTGTTTGCTGCACCTATTTGTAGTAAAGGTAGAAAGGTAATAAATTTACTCTACCATGCCCACTTTAGTCATTCCATGTAGTCTTCAATCATAGGTTTCTGTCATCTTGTTGACACGTAGAAATCAGCACTTCCAATTTCTAATATTTATAAAACCTCAGATAGGTAGCTAATACTTCCCTACATGATTCAGACCTAGACAGTAAACTCATGAAATCATTCCACATCTCTTTCTGGTTAACAATAATGAAAAGCTCTGAGTAAAGTAATTCAAGGGTTTAGAATTTATTTTCTCACTAAAATGTCAACTGCCCGTCAAACGAATGATTCCTATGCTAACGAGTTTCTTCGAACTGTTGAATCAATGTTAATCAAACTTAAACACAGTACTCTTAAGAGCTGAAATTTGAGAATTCTATCATTATGCAGAAGTATGGTAATATGAGTTGAAGATGGAGCTTAAACATTCTAACTGAACATCATGAAAAACTCCAGAAACGGTTCCTCACTAAAATGTATGTAAATGCAATCCATTTCAATAGTCAAGCACATCGCAAAAGTCAACGTTGCGTACTGCCATCTGGTTTAAACCTAATCTATGATGTTTTGCAGATTAAATATAAGTCAACAGCGATTCTGGTCTTTTTGTAACAAGTTTTAAACCTACCATTTACCAGAAGTGACTTTTAGGATTTCAATTCATGTTTATGGCAGTAGTTTTATGCTCATATTGCTCAGCTGAGGAAATATTTTGACCATTGCCCTTGGTAAGTATAGGTACAGGTTCCTTTCAATCTTTCAGAAATACTCCATACTTTGATGATAATTGATGCATCTGTGCTCACAATTTTTATATATTAATGGATTTTCAAGGTATCTTCTTCCTTGAAATACTATTCAAAAACAAATTCATGTTTTATGAATCAAACGCCATCGTTAGGTCAAAAACTAAAGATAATATAAGCATAGCATACTTTTTGTATTAACTTTGGTTCATATTTAAACCTGTACGGACTTGAAAATGGTTCAGCTTCAAGTAAACTATGGCGTTTAGAATCAAATTCAGATTATGAAGTGGAGCATTGCAGCTAGAATACTTGTGAAATATTATATATTAACTTGCAGTAATTGTTATTATTTGTGTTCATTGTTAAATAAAATGTGAAAATCACTATGCTTCCTCCGTATTAGGGTATTCAAGTAACTTCTGTTGTATCTAGAGGACTCTATTGCTTGCGGTTTCCTGGTAATACGAATCATCATACCTGTGTTTTTTTGTTTATGATATTAACTACAAACTGCAATAAAGTGGTAGACTATTTGACTTTTCATCTCAAAATCTTTGTTGCTTCTATAGTTTGCTTAAATGCCTAAGTCGGTCCACATTGATACGCTTCCAAGGACACCAGGAGGAGAACATTTGGATACCAACCAAATAAATGCTGACGAAATTGAATTCGACTCGGAGATAACAATTAAGTCATCCCTCTTGCGTGAATGTAAACCGGGAAATCCTTGGTTTGAGGAAGGTGATCTAGATGAGGATGATTATAAAAAGTAAGTAATATATTGTCTCAGATTGTATCAGATCAAAGTTTGTCGCTCGTCAGTCTTTAGATCTCCGAAAAGTACGTTCAGAAGAGGCTAAAATCAAAGCCATCTTGTCGAGTCCCATGGTGGATTCTCGACCCAGAAGACTGAGTTGTTCAAAATCTTTTAGTGAGGACGTGGAAAATCTCAATTCCCAAACTCCGTTGCGTTTATCTAAATATGGTGATCTTGTCTCCTCAGCATCTCGGCGCCTGTCTCGCATAATCATTAATCGACGATTATCTCTAATGGAAACGAACCATAACAATGCCTCCTTTGGGAAACTGAATTCGCACACCCGAACTCCTACTATCAAGTGTTACAAACAAGATAACAAGGAAGGAAATCCATCAACTCCTGAAGAGTAAGTTAGTGGGGAAGTTTTTTAAAATTATTTAAAGATTGTTTACTGGTTTTAATGAAACTTGTTCACTGCGACAATTATTTGAGATTTGTTCTCTTGACTTACAAATCTTCTATGCTGTCTCATTGTATTTACCATAGTTATTGACGCTGTGGAACTTAATTAAACTGTCTTGGACATTCAACTTGTAACTAGTATTTCACAGGTTTGTAACATAGTACACGAATCTGTATAGTTGTTAAGTTTGATCACCACTGCTGGTGCAAAGCGTGACAACTTAAATAATTGTGCAGTAATGCTAGATCCCTTGTTGGTATTAATTAGTTGACTGCAATGTCGTAATTGTTGGATTCGTCTAACGATTCAGTATTCGGTTCCTGTGAAATCGAAGACATGGTGTTCAAATGTAGGGAACTTACTTCTTGACTAAATTCCACTTGGTAGTCTACTCACTGTTTGCCTAAACTTATATGAAAGAAAATTGCCGCTTGGCCACTTAAAAAATAAACAAATATGGAAGACCTGATGAAGGCTCACGTGCGGTTTTGTAGTTTATATTAACTATTACATTGTCTTATAACACTTTAACCGGTCCAAACGATTCAATTTTGTGGAATTGTATCTGTTATCCTCGGTGCCACGTAGAGAACGCAAGACGGCAGGAACTGGATTTTGGTGCATGTTGCCACACCTCTTATTAACACATAGAGATAACTCAACAGCCATATGCTTTTACGTTTACTAGTCAGTCAGTGACCTGTTATGTGAGGGCGTATTATGCTGACTGACTACCCAAACCTTTACAAGTCGAGGGTTGGACCCACTACCCACACAAGTCAGTGAACTACAAATCTTGCTCATTCCTAGACTTTTTCGACTGTAGTTCTACTATGATGTAGTGCAACGGTAGCTGGACATACTGAATAATTCTTCATCATCTCGGTCAATGAAGGCTCATGACAACATCAACTAATTAATATACTCCGCCTAGTACTGTAGATTGATCTCTTCATTGTTTGTTTATATGGTGAATATAGAGCAACTACAAGCGATGTTGTGACGATAATGGTGATCAAGTATCTGTAGTTTTCAGAGCTGGTTAACTAAGCCAAACTAGTCAGAAAGGTATCATAATTTTTTTTATAATAACTTTATCACTCTTTGAGCTTGAGTTTTCGTGATGTAGGTCTTCCTAACCTACTTCATTGCATCATAAAAAGGGATCATGAGAATATTTTTGGAAATCTTACCAATAGAAAAAATAATTGAGAGAGTGGGCTACAAGCAGCCAATTTTTTCTAACCAGTGCTAGCTAATTTTATCCCCGAAGCGCAAGTGACCTGTGAACAATATAACAAAGCGAAGTGATCAAACCCCTATTGATGAGCGCTGGGGGAGACTGAAAGGGAACTTTCATATTCTTGTCGTATTTAACATATATATATATATATATATATATATATATATATATATATATATATATATATATATATATATATATATATATATATGCATATATGCATATATGCAGACGCTTGAAAAATAGCCCTCAGATTCCACCCCTTGTTGGTCGGTCAGTTTCTCGATAAATGGAAAAGCCAGTAAAATAACGAGGTGTATTGCAACGTCAAAAATATGTACTGGGTCACGAATATAAACTGAATTCCATCTACTTCGGTCTGAGGAACGAGGTGGTCTTGTATTCTAAGCCTTCACACAATAAGCCTGACTCGCCTCCTCGTACATGAACACTTATACTGGGTTGAGTTAGATCATTGATCGGCAAAACTGTCTTCATTATACTGGTCGGGTATTGATGTAGTTGGTCTTCATCTCTGATTTAGTTACCTAGCATGCAGTTTCAGTGTGTACGATGTCTTCTAACTATAACTGTGGTTGAATAATCTGTGATAATTTCGAATCGATACAAAGTAGCTGATCTTGATATACTACTGCATGCATTCGAATTTCCACTATGATAGTCTATCACTTATGATTGGAATAGTTCATTTTCTTCATTCGATTGAAAGTTAAGCAAACAACATTCAGATTTTACTTGACTATTGATCATTTCACTGACAAAGTGAAGACTTCTATTTATGTTTATTTTTATATATTCAGTTAGTATTATTTCGAACAATGCAATAAAAAAAATTATTTGCAGGAGAAAGTGATATCTTATTTTGTCAATTCTCTGCAACTGTGTGCAATTTACAAAAATGGTAACCAGTGATTTTGAAAAGTATAATAAACATACTTAACAAGGAAGATTGTAGTGTTCAATTCAGAATTTAGATATCCAGGTTCGGAATTACGAAGTAGAAGAAATAAGAAGTATATGATATTAAGCCACTCTATTTGTATAACCAAAGATGATGATTATTCTAGAGTTAACAAGGAGAGGATAGAACTGTGATATAATTACTTCATTGTGTACAAAACTGTCTAGATCGATATGATAAGAAGAGGAGGTCACATATTTCCAACTAATAATTAAATTCACACTAATATTCGATTTCCATTTTTTCAGTCAGCAGGAAGAGATAAAGGGAGATAGTAAATTGGAAGCAAAAGTACGAACAAACTTTTTAAGCGTTACTAGGGCATATTAGATCCCTAGTACGCCGTATAAAGTCGTTTATAGACCAGTCTGGATGGTTTGTTTCGACACTGCTAGGGCAACGGGAGATCGATCGCCGTTTCTGTTTTTAATCAGGTCAGATTCTTCTGACTGCATCGGTTTGCACAAACCGAAGTAAGAGTAAAGTTTTCTGCCGCTTCAAATCCTAAAGACTTTTGTTGTTTCTGTTTAATCCCCCAACTCACTGTGTCGCAAGATATCGCGTTCCAATCCCTGCGATATACTGTTTTTGGAATGTACTTTGAGTTCCCGATAGACATCTATTTCCTTGTTCGTTCGCTGTACTTGCTTCCACATGTGCACGTAAACTGATAAATGCAATTTCAGACGATGAAATACAGGAAAATTTTTACTTTGTGCTGCTGAATAAAACACACTGTTTGATATACTTGCAGCAACTAATCGGGTGCGGGTATCCGATCGATTGCATTCATAATCCTTTTATTTGTTACTTGAGCAACGTCTTCCTTGAACATCAGTCAAAAAAAGATAAGCTTCTATTCAACATTATATCACTGTTTGCTTTGATACATACTATTTTTATGAATAAATGTCAACGAATATTCATTACCCTGTACAAACTGTTCATCATGATAAAGCGTCTCTTCAAGGCTAAGTTTCTCTGCTCTTGGATAATGTTCTGATGGAGACCCTATAATAGCATATTCACCATAAACTGTTGAAGTCTGACTACTTTCTTTTCTACGTTGTTTTACGGTATTTTTCTAATAGATAGTGTATGAAGATTAAAGGTAGTGCCACCAGATTGATGTAATTCCCTGATCATCCCAGTCTATAAGAAGGGAGAGAAATCTTCCTGTGACAACAACAGGGGAATTACTTCGACTAACATTGCGTCCAAGATCTTAGGGTTCATAGTTATCCTATGCCTAACTGGAGCTCGAGAACAACAAGCTGGAGAAAATCAAACAGGTTTCAGACCTGGACGAGCGTGTATCGATCAGACTTTTACTGTGACAGGTCCTAGAACACATGTATACCTCCGGCGACGAACACTCGCTATATTTCTTGGCTTGAAGGTGACATTTGACTTTGTCAACTGTGAGGTTTTTGGTCAGTTTCTGGCTTTGAGGAGATTAGCGAGCAGTTATGTTAAGCTAACCAAAGCTGTCTACTCAGGCTCATGCAGCTGTGTAAGGCCTTATGGAGGATTGTCATTTCAAGTAACAGATATGCCTGTCATCACTGTTCCCGTTTAATTTCATTGCAGTTTAGGTAAGTCTGATTTCATGGGGGTTGTTCTACTTTGTGGAAGTCAACTAGTTGACTTGGAGTATGCAGACAATATTTCCCTGTTGGGTGAAGAAGCTGACATGACAAAATGCAGAATCTTCTGAATGCGTTAAAGACAAGTCCGGGTATATTTGGTATGCGTTTCCCACCTGTTATATGTGTAAAATGATGCTTAAAGACTAGTTTCCAGCTACTTCCAGTTTAAAGATACGGAGCTAAGTGGTGGAGTACATCGAAAAACTACTTCACTCACCTGGGGAGTTGCATCAGCCTGAAGAGACTGGTTGCTGATGAAATCCAAGCTGGGATACAAAAGACACGTTTTGAATATGTCAACCTACATCATCTATGGCGCTGGCGAGATAGCCAGCCATCTATCGAAGGACGTGTATACTGCGCTGCAGTCCGTTTTATCCTGTTATATGGCTGAGACATGGTCGTTAAGAGTATAAGATATAAAGGTATGCAAGGTTCCGATCACAGGTGTCTTCGTAGAATTGTTCATGTATGGTGGTGGAATCACAATATGGGCAATGTTGAGGTCAAGCAAAAGGTACTAGGCAAAACAGGCAAGTGGATTGATGAGGTGAACTCTTATCGCCTGATATGGCTTGAACATGTGTTGCTCATGCCGACCCACCATCTACCTCTATGTCCAATGCTAGAAGTTCGAGTAGATTGGAAAAGAGTTCAGGGTGGTTAGAGTAAGACGTGCCACTAGTCGATAAAGTCCCTTACTGTTGATCTGAGCTGTGTGGTCAAATGTGAACTACCTGACTGGGGTCCCCAAGATGATAGGTATCAGTGGTGGAGGACTCTTGGTGACATGACTGAACATCGATCACAATGGTGCAGATGTATTCACTCTTTGATGTCTTCTAAAGCTTGAATATTCACACTACCCGTTATCCTCATTCTCTCACACAACTTTGCCTAATCTGATATGACTTATTCTATCCACCTGTTCTTTGTATATTACTGTGGAGTGTATCAGCTTGAACTGGTGCACTTGTGTGCGAGGTTCCGCGTTGATTTCATGTCTTCATCTGCTTTGAGATATGTCACTAAGGTTGAACATAATAATTGTACCTCTCTTCATTTTCCTATTTCAATGGATAGGAACATATTTTCATGTTAAGCGAAGACGTCAGAAATAAAACCAATTGGGTATTTGAGAGAAAATCTTAAGATATGCTTTATGTTTCACTTACCAAAGATAAATGGATACATTACATACTTTAATATTACTCATTCTAATGCCAACCTCAAAAATGAATTTTTCGTTTATTTAAATTCCTTCATTGTCTAGATTTTCACTGAAAATGTATTGATAAATCCCTTGCTTTATTCAACTATAGTTTGTTGCAATTGTGTATCACTTCTGGATTTCTGACTTCTTATGACTATAGTATAGACCTTTGGATAGATACAAAGCACCTTGCAAATATCAGAAAAGCTTTTTTTCTTTTATTTACTGAAATAGGTACGCACTCTAAAATCTATATCGTTAAATATTGTATTATCATTTGTGTAAGTGGCTAAGTACTACTAGGATTTCTGGACCAAGGTACGTAGTTGTCTCAGAGGACCACTTCCTGGATGTTAGAATTGAAGTCGAATCCACTAGGCAGCGGAGGAGTTCTAGAGGCTGTTTGCATGTTTCTTAGTGATCAAGGTAGGTTGTTGCACTATTCGTTCATTCTAGATCCAAGAGCGCATGTCCAGCACTGGTTTGGAGTCAGGGCGCATTTCTTGGTACACATATTGTGTGAAGTTTGTGTTTTGTATAATCGGAAATGCTATTATTCGTACACCAATGTCATTATTTGCATTCGGAGGAACTACCAAACTGTGTGGAACCGTGGCTCAGTGGTTTAGGGAAATAATTATCAACTAATGGGTCGCAGGCTGGAACCAAGGTTTGACCGGCCAGGTTGTATCACTAACCTTCACATTGCCTACTTCAGGAATGTGCATAAACTGGCTAATTGCGTCTCTCTTTTATGAGAATCACTTGACAGTTATTTAGATGTACGTTCTTTAAGTTAACTTCTGTTTACTACCCCAGTAGTTAGTATTTTTAAACAGAGATACAAAGTGAAATTCCCTATATTTCAAGTAATCAGTAAATAGTGAAGCCCTTTAACTGTTAGTCGATTTTTCACCCAAATGATCTAACTACCAAAACAATACCGCCTGTTTTAAAAATCATTGGTTGAAGATGACGGTTTGTGATGTCTAAGACCATTATATGTTTTCAGCTCTTGCTTCTCCGTCCTCTTTTCTCCTTAGTGCTTATCATGTCCATGTCAGAGTTGATGTACATTCCTAGGATTTGAAAGTACTCAAAGTGAAATAAAATACACCCTTTTTCAGGCAACTCACTTAAAACATGAATTATTACTGCTTTAACTTTACCGTTAGCTAATTTCTCTTATCCAATTGCAAGTACTTTACTGAAGCATTTATTCAGGTTAATGTGTTTAAAGACTGAATACAAGGTGTGTATAAAAATCAAGGTTCAAAGAAACTTTGTGATTCATCCTAATAGACACTCAATTTATACCCTAAATTTATTTAGAATTCTGTTGTCACTGTGTCACGCAAAAAATCCATCTTCTTGGGCAAATATTATTTTAAAGGGAGATGTGAATAGTAACTATAAGAGGTTCTCAAGTTCGCCGTAATGCATTTTATATCGAATGGGAAAGTTTTACTTCTCTTAATGTGCTAAAGAAACTAACCACCTAGCTTCAAACTGCTCCCCCCCCCCACCCCCTTGACTAGTAACAATTAAACGATGTTTTCAAAGTAGCTTGAAATGACTAAAATTCACTTTTTATGTATATGATGATACGTTTAGTACTTTGTAATCACTCCTCTTGTTTAGTAAAGAAAATGTTGAACCGTCAAAGGGGGATGTCGTATTGCTTTCTACTTCTATGGCAGATCAACCATATGGTGATGTTGCGAACTCTTTCATACGTGATCCATGCTCTGTTTCTGAATTCCGTCTGCTTGCAGATATGGAAACAACTCGATTAACTCAGTTATGCGGAGATTGGAATTGTGTAATGTGGGAAGAAGGCAGCAGTATCCCCGAAAGAGGTAGGCTTATTCTTATCATTTCTTATTGTTATTTATTTTAATTACTTGAAATATTATAGTTAAGGAATCTTTATTAGCATATTCACCTCATCATGCTTAAGGTGAATGCTCTAAGTACATTTCAGTAGCTGAAACTACTCAAATAAAACTGATCCGCAAAACGAATATCGTTTTAAATAGGTAGATATCGAATTCTGAATATGTCAACTGTTATTCTAACGGTTTGCATCCACTATGTATATGTCTGTGAGATGGGACTACTCAAGACTTATGGATGTAAGAGGTCTAAAAATTTCTAAACGCTGCTTCTTCTGGAGAATTAATTCACTTTAGTGTAACCAAAGTCAAAAACGTCGTAGTCATTAAAATTGAAGGAAATTAAAAGGTCCCATATGAAACTACCGTGCTAGTAATGTTGAATTTAGACATAGAGAGCCTTAAGTATAAGAGGTGAGTCAGTTAATCAGGTTGCTAACTTTTGATCGACTGAAGTTGCTCGGATATGTGTTACATACCTATAGTTCCGGCCTACTTTGATACTCAGTGTTAGTTGACAATGGTTAAACATTATCAGACTAAAGCATAATATCAGTCAAAGATGTCTTTGACAGTCGGTGTAAGCCGTGTGGGAGACTGTAGACTCCCCGGTTGGGGTCGATATGATAGCCAAAACTGAAGGATGAATGTGGAATGATCTACCGCTGATTGCTCACAATGAGATACATCTCCATTATCATCGATTTTAAATCGTATATTCCAAAGTCTCTAGCTACTGACTTCTGTAAATCCTATCCACTAACCTACAATTCTTTATAATGTTAATGAAAGGGACAGTCAACAGTCTTTATGGACTGCTGGTGTATTGGTCCGACGAATCTGAGACTTTGACCATCGTTCAACCATACTAAGCAGCTGCAAGACATATCCCAATCGTTTCAGTTGCTATAGGTTTAAAGTCTCATCATCCGACCTATCTACTCACCAGAAATCATACACATAATCTCAGCATTACCTAAAACTTTATCCTCTCTTTTACTCATATATTGAAGAGATAGTTAGGAAACCTGTTCAGAGTGATATTAATGTATGAAACTGTTACAGATTAAGTAACCATTCATTATCCTTGCTAATTAATTACTCACTGAATGCTATCAAAAAATAGATGGCATATATTTTCTTGTGGCGATGATATGACAATAGCGTAATTTATTATTATTTGTCCTTTGGGTTCCTAGTGGAACATAAGCCTTCAGTACCGCATCTCCATTGCACTCTGTTCTCTGCAGTCTTTTGAACCTGGCTCCACGACTGCCCACAAGCTTTCATTCCTTCCTCATAGGATCTCCTCCATGTCACCCTCAGCTGGGACGCCCAATTCGTCCTTTCCCCTCTGGATTCCACTCGGGGACCTGGCACGTGATGTCTCTGAATGGCTTTCTCAGTGTATGCCCAATCCATCTCCGCTTCCTTCTGCATATCTGTTGGGCAATAGGTTCTTTCTTGGTTTGGTACCATACCAGATTTCCTTATGGCTTATTCTTTCTGGCCATCTGATCTTTAGTATCGAGCGACCGTAGGCGGAAGCTGTTCATGTAATGTATGTCTGTAGTTTGTTGGAAATGCTTTTCGTGACGCTCCAAGTCTCTGAACCACTACATAGAAACACTGACTTACTTGAGTGAATTAGTGTTGAAAATCCGAATCTTGTTCTATATACTGGGTGCAGTCATAAAGTGCAGTAGATCTCCACACTGATTTCAGATTAATGAAGGCCTGTCTTGCTGTCTTTCCAATCCTGACTTTAACATCCTCATCTGTGCCACAGCTTGTAGTTGAAGCGATGCTACCTATGTAGGTGAAAGAGACTACTTCCTTTAGGTTTCTCCTGTTCATGGTGATTGGTCGTAGTTGTTGTTGGTGGTGGTTGGGTATCTTCTCTACTTTCACTTGAAGTCCCGTCTTCACTCTCCTGCCTCTTCTTTCAACTTGTTAGTTTTTGCCCGTAGACGTTCGAGTTTGTGCGACAAGACAGACATAAATCATCATCGGCGAAATCCAAATCTTCTAAGGTTTTTTCATCGGTCCAGCCACCGGATGACCATCTCCTCGCTCCTCACGGTTTCCTGCATGATCCAGTCCAGTCCACCACAATCAGGAAGATGATCGATGATAGTAGGCGGCAGCCTTGTCTCACTCCCGTCTTCACTTCAAAAGCCTCACTGAGCTTTCCATTTTGAATCACTTGGCACGTGACATCTTCATATAGCTGTTGAATGAGTTTGATAAAGTTTTGTGGCACTAAAACCGTATTGTAGTGTTGAAGCAGCAGGTGCCTGCCAAATTACCTCTCTGTAGACGCCATCGAAGGCCTTTTCAAAGTCGATGAAGTTGAGTTTGAGATAGGGAGTTGACTGCCATTCGATAATGTGTTCTATGATGATGCGTAGCGTAGTATTGCAATTTGATGCGCACATGATTTGTTCTTCCTAAAGCCAGTGAGCCAGCCTGTTCCGTTCGTAGATTCGAATCTAGTGCATCGTTTAGTCTCTGCAGAATGATGCGGCGTAATATTTTGGTTGGTGGGTGGGCAGGGGTGGAACATGATTTCACCCGAGTTCTTGCAAAGACTTAGGTCACCCTTCTTTGGGAGTTTGAGTTTGGTAGCCTTTCTTCCAATCAGTCGGCAGGTACCTTTCCTTCCTTCCTTCCTTCCTTCCAAGCCTTCTGCAGTAGTGGTGTGAGCATATCTGCTGATGTTTCTGTGTCTGTTTTCAGTGCTTCTGGCGGAATTCCATCTGGTTCTGTTGCTTTTAGGGATTTCAGCAGTTTTATGGCTTTCAGGACTTCACTTCTGCTATTGTCGGAGGGTTTGTGCTCACTGATAGTTCCATGGCTGGGCTGCTGGAGTATTTCTGGACTAGTTGCAGCTGTTGTTGTTGTTGTTAGTGGTGGTGGTGGTGGTCAAATCAAGAGTTTTTTTGAAGTGGTCAGCTCATCGTTTCCTTTGGTTCTGCTGTTTGACGGTACCTAGGTTCCCTTCACTATCTGTCACTGATTTCATCTGCGTTGATCTCTTCACCATCCCCAGATAGTTACCCGGTTATTTGATATAGTGCTGTCAGGTCTCTGTCTCTCCTACCTGCAGCCTGTTCTGCTTCACTTGCCAGTGTCATGGAGGTGTGTTTTATGTTTGCGCACACTCTTCTTCACTTCTTTGTCCAGTGTAGTGTTTTATGGGTTGTGTTCATTTCTTCTTTTCGGTGTTCTTCCTTGCCTGCACTGGTTCATCTTCTGCTTCACTATCTTCCTCTCCCCCCTCTACCAGCATCCATGTGTCCGTCAAGATCCATTCCCTATCCTGCTTTTTCTTCCTTCCTAACATGTTTCTGCAGGTTTCTTTGCACATCCCTTTCAGAGAGTTCCAGTGTTCTTGCATGCAGGTTTCCTCGGAGATGTTTCTCAATGTGTCTGATTTTGTCCTGATGACTCATTGACTGACTGACTGATTGAGGTGAAGATGTCCTTCGTAGTTTCTTCCTTCAGTTGAGTTTGTGTTCTGTTCTGGGTGTTCAACTTCAACTGTGGTCTATCACCAACTCGTTTGAAGGTTTTTCAGTTGATTTTGAAGGCAGTTTCCTTGCACTAGATAGATGTGGTGTGAGTGGTGTGAACCTACATCTGCTCCCTTTCTTCATCTATGTAATAAATCTGATCTTGTGTCCATTATGCTGGTTGTGTCTCCACTTTCTTCATATTGGGATGAAGTTGATCTGATTTTTCGTGTGTCCTGCCTGGTGTCTGGTGAAATCGAATCCATGTCACTGCCTTGTGAATATTCTTGTGTTTGTACGAACTGGATCCAATCACTAAATGGTTGGATGGGCAGAAGTCTGCAAACAGTTCTCCATTGTCATTCATCATTTCACTGAGTGTTTCTCTATCCATGATGGATGAGTTCTCTTCGTGTGTTGTCCACTTTGAGTTTGTCATTCATGTCACCCAACCCATTAGGATTTCGATGTCGCCAACTTGTGTGTAGTGTTGTTGAGTACTGATTGCAGTTGTCTGTAGAATTCCTGCTTCTTCTCTTAATCTGCATTATTTGTGGGTGCATGGTATTGGCATTGTATGATTGTGACTTTCCTTCCTTTTGAGTTGAATCTTGTTAGCATACTCTAATTCTGGTAATTTTCTTCTTTGTGGGTAACAGAGGAATCCAGGACACACGTTTCTTCCTATTCGGTACTCGTCAGGCGGATGTGTTTGTCGTCTGAGTGACAACACTGGATTGGGTTATTGGATCTCCAGTTGACAGTTTGGGGAGTCCACTCCCATTCCATCTGGTTTCTCAGGTTCCCAGCCTAGCACTTCTATGCTATACCTTCTCATCTCCTTTGCAATCTGGGCAGCCTTGCTAGGTTCATACATGGTGCGGACATTCCATGTCCTCATGCTTACTTTAACTTTCATCGAGAGAGAGAGAGAGAGAGAGAGAGAGAGAGAGAGAGAGAGAAGACACATCGGCCAAGTTGGTTCCCGAAGGCTTTCACCAACTGGCGTCATTTTGTCTCCCCGAATCCAACGAGGAATAAGTTTATTTTAATTTTCTATATTTGCTTTGTGCTTTAAGTTTCTTTAGCGGGGTAGGGTTGCTAGCCCTACGCCCAACCCTCCCTCTTTATCCGGGTTTCGGACTGGCTAGTAACTAGTGAACTAGTTAAGCTGGCGAGGTTAGAATACCGTAAAGGAAAATGAAATCCTAATACACTTATCCAATCAATGCAGGTCTATGTAAATGGTTTTGAGCCTGTAGTAGTCAGATGGTAAATACTCACAAAGGGTACTTTGGGTGCCTGGTATTACAGCAAGACGGTACAAGTTGTCATTACTCCACATAACCACATCAAAATACAAGGCAATATGAAGAATGGCAAAGAAGAACGGTTAAAAAAGAGTAATCAAAGATTGTTGGAAGAAAGGAAAAGGAAGTAAAACAAATCGCACAACGCATACCATGATGATTAGGATCTAGATGATATGGGATTATATTTGTGCTATTGCGATTAGTTTTGAATTATATCACAGTCTTCAGTCTTTGGTTATCTCCAAGTCCCTACACAGAAAGTCTGCGTTCCCAAAATGCGGTTTAGTCAGTTGTCACCGACATCATGAATTAGTCTTACCACCTTTAATCTTTCACAGTGTAATCCTACATCAACCAACGTTTCGCATCAGGACAGATTGTGACTAGGTTTATTCGAGTCACCTCAGTTGATAAAGGTCAACAGGTTTGAGTACCTGACCTTTTTAATCGAAGAATAACCTACATATTACTTATATGGTAGTTTTATAACGCATACCCATACGATACTACTCAGTTTCCTGGGATAGGGTTGTATCTTCTGTCAAAGATACATATTATTTTTAGTAACTGCAACCTCATAAATCAGATAAATATGAGTACAATGGAGTTTAACTTGCATTCACTGTCACTAGTGATGTATTTTTACACATTAATTGAATTGAATTTTGCTTTAAGGAATACTTGTTCAACTAAATACTGTTTTAAATTATTTTGGGTATAACCAGTAGTTTTTCTATACATTTTCTATCCTATTATTATTTTCCTTCTAGCAATTGATTCTATCAGAGCAGCTGTCGGGAAGTGTCAACTGTTGATACACAAGAAATTTACATTTTTTCAACACCTAGTTGAAATGGCAGAGAAAAGTCTTACAGAAGCTGATTCACCTTCAAATTGTACACCAGCACGAAAGACTGATATAAATGACCTTCTAGGCTATTGGACATTAGTAGCTCATGAAATCAGTTTATTAGATAGTGCTTTTGAACGTTTACGCATTTGGCGTGATGATTTTGGTTGGTCAATGGATCATTGCCCTGTTACACCAGCTAGATCAGAAATTATTAAACATCTTGACCGTCCATCGAAACGTTTACTTACACCAAGGTGTAATAAATCAAAGAAGTCTCGGTCTGTTATCAAAGATGATTTTCCGGTCAATGATCAATTGAATTCATCACTTTCTAAAAGTGCGAGCACAGTTGTCAAAACACCCAAGGTAAGGCTTCTGTTGTTTCTTGCTCTGTGTAACATCATGAATGCTGTTGAATATCATCACATAGTGAGAAGCTAATTACTATTTTTCTCTTTGTAATTAAATACAGTGGTTGAAGGATTGAAAAGAAATCTAGCTCCTCCCCCGCTGCTTCCTTAGATCTTGGTTACCTCTGTTACATTCGTCTGATAACTTAGACCGATTCACTTCTGTGTGATTCTTGTTAATATGAATTTCCATGCTGGCATTTATGTATAGAGTCCATCTATCGAGTACTTATTCGTAGTTTGAAGTTAAACTTATAATATGTCTTATATTCTTGAAAGCGTGTAGTACCTACTAGTTCTATCTAAGTGGTTACACTCGAGCCTGTTTAAAGTTTTTTAGTAATAAGAAGTTATTCTATGTGGAATAATGATTCACAGTGATCACATAGATTCAAATCGACTTAACAGCAATTAAAACGTAATCAGAAAAGGGTAAAAATGCGAAACTAAATGTCAGCCTAATCAGTAAAATCATGGTAAACACATGTGACCAAAAGTAAGATAATATTTACTATAGATATTAGTTACTAAATGGTTGGAGGCAATAGGTTGGAAGTCCTATCTGACCTAAGTTTCGTGCCTATCGGTCTTATTCAGAAAGGTGTATCTTCAACCTTGAGAGGACCGATTTTCCTTCTAAGATCTAAACCCGCGTCATCTGCTGTTGCAACGAGAGATGCTACCGGTATTCTAGTGTTAAATATTGTTAGATAATACTGAGTAAATATCATGGGAATAGTTCTTTTTCATGTTGTTTCCAAAGTCTTGTTAGTGGAAGTGTTCCCCATCGGTTTACCTATCTGGTCTTTCACCGATCTCTTCAAGGTTTAAACCCCACCTCATCTACTTCAGTTTGGGTTACCGGACAGTATCACAAATCCCCAAAAACAAGTATGCCTCATAGTCCATTACCGAAACCCCATGTATTGGGTTGAGTTGCACTAATTAAATTAAATGTCTTGTTTACTATTACGTTACTGAATTACCACAAGTACAGAAATCCACCCTCGTGTAAGTTAGTGATTTTTGCATAACAAGTTAACCCCCCCCCCAAGGTTAACTGGAGCACTACAATACCTAAGTAGTTTCATAATACATGGTTGGGCTAAAAGCCAGTACTGGAGCACAAAGCCGAAGAACATCAGTTATTTCGATATCTGATATCTAAATATCTTTTCTGTCTTTCGCTTCACTTTGTCCAGATAGATAGATCAACGTGGGAACTCACAGAGACACATCAGTTCAATTTGCCACACGTCACAGCGACATGTAAACAACAAGTGAACAGGAAGACGGATATCAAAGTAGACAAAAGTGCATAGGAGGAGAGGGAATTTTTAAAATGAGTTTAGTTAAAATACTAATATAGGTGTAAAACTTGAGCACTGTGGTAGAATTTAATTCCGTATTAGATTCGTTTAGTTTAGTTATTTAGTTAAAATACTCCAACTTTTGAAGATGTCAAAGAGAGAATACAGCTGCGCTACTGTCACCAAAACTCTCCAACTATTGATTCCTATTGTCTCAAGGACCCCAGTCAGGTAGTGTACACTTCTCTGCATTACCTGAGACCAACAATCAGAGATTTCATCGACTGATCCCAAATCTTGCTCTGACCACTCTTAGCCTTCGCTCAACCTAATCTTATCTTGCTTAACATTGCAAACTAAGGTAGGTGTTGGCTTGGCATACACAATACACAAAACTTCGTCTACTTTAATATCACTTTTTCTACCCACCTATTCTTTGCATATTACTGTGAAGTGTGGCAACCTGAATCGATGCGCTTATGTGCGAGGTTCTACGTTGATTTTGACTGTATGTCTGTCTATACACAACATATGTTCATACCACCTCAGTCAACTGATCCTCCGTTTAGCTTCGTCGTTGCTTACACGATGACTTTGCCGTAAGTGAACAATTCTGGGAAGACACATATAGTCGAAAATTTGTTATCTCCAAATATCTAATTTCAATGACCATGTCTCATTCATTGCCGAATAATAGGGCAGTGAAGATTTCAACCCTGTGTTCTCGTCCTTTAATAGGTAGTCGGATATCTCACCGGTGCCAGAGATGGTGTAAGTTGTCAAATGCCAAACAGGCCTTTTATATCCGAGGTGGAACTTTTTTCAGCTACCAAGGTATTTGGGTGATGTGATTTCCAAGTAGTTGAAGTAGTCAACATATTCTAATACTTCACTCATCATCCTTATAAACTGGTAGTTGTTGTAGACCATTTCTGAAGCATCATCTTACGTATAAAACACATTAAACTTACTTTTTTCGCCAGATTAGATCCCATTTTCAAGATTAGGTATGCTGTCTGTCATCAAATATGACGCCTGAATCAAGTAATAAGCAATGGAATTATAAATGTTGGGAATATATTTTAATTACGAGTGATAGTTTTGTTGCCTCAATCTTTGGTAGTCGGTTATATAAGACAGCTAATATAACCTGCTCATACTTTTGCAATCACCGCTTTGCAACTAGTTTTCCGTTTTCATAAAATCTTATAGAAAGGACCTCAGTGTATAGCGTGTAACAACAGATATTTTCTCGGTTGAAATTTTCAAGTGAACCTAAGAGAAAAACTAAAGTTAAACCCTGACTCTCAGTGTACAGCCCGAATTTCTGTTATGCATTTCTGTGATGATTGAATTAAGCGAACAAGATTTACCATTCTATCGATATCAAATGTAAGGGAAGTATTAGTTATATCTCATATACGTAAATTATTTTATGATGAAATTGCATACTCAACTATATAAATCGTCATACTAGTAGATGATATAGTTATATACCCATGTTTGTGAGTGAACCAACAGTCAGAAATTGAATGAAGTTTTAAAGGAGACGGTTAGCCTGGTCAGTCCTATGCTTAAGAATAAGGTTAACAAATGAAGAAGGGAGTTCAATACAATATGATTTGTGTCTAACGATGATGTATGGATGCTATTCCGAAGCATGTTCTATCGCTCGTGGGAAAATCAGCGGAGACACAACATAAAAAACTTATACCCGGTTAAGTTGCACTTATATATATATATATATATATATATATATATATATATATATATATATATATCAGCACTTTCGCGTTTGGAGATGTTTGTTAAGTTAGTTCAAAGAAGCTGTATTTACACTTTATCATTAAAAATTTGAACTAGAAGTAAGCTTCCTCTATCTCCTCTCATATTAGTTATCTTAGCATTCTTATGTTCTTGTTGATTTCTTTTCTGTGTTGTTACCGAGTGTGGCAACTAGCAGTGATGATGCTGTTCAACCTAGTACAGGTGTATAAGTTAAGCTATGGGCTACACTTATTGTGTGAACGCTTATGATGCTACTCGATTACCCAGGCTGTAGTAGGTGGAATAGTATTGAAACCTGAGACTCATCGGCTATAGGTCAGCTGTTTAAGTCAATGAGCCATTTCCATAAGTGTAACAACTGAGTGTTATATTTTTTCGTGTAGTTCTACATTGATCTACTTGTCTGTTGTTTATTTGCTCATTTTTAAATCTTATTAAATATTTTACACTACAATTAATAATAATTTGAAATTTTTTATTCCTTTCTGTCTTTGTTGTTTAAACCACAGACTTCAAAAAGCAGACCTACAAAATCTAGGTTTGCTCGGTTTTTGGAAGCTAAGAAGGTGGCAGTTGCGGAAGGTGTGCAAACTACTAAATTTTAATTTCTATTAACGCATTAAATCCGTTGTCTCTATGAGTATTTTGCTATCCCAAAGTTTTGCTAACCTTTTTATTAAGCTTTTTAGGCTTTTTGTATATTTCTGTATTGAAGTAGTACTTCACCTGCGTATCATCTACCTGTGAACTTTCTCTTAACTTTTGACCGAACGATGTAATTTCCCGTCTTTGATGAAACTGAGTTGATCAACCGCTGTTGGCACATGGTGCTCCTGTTTAGATGCTTCAATATTACCGGTAATCTCAGTTGTGGCAATAATAATAGATAGTGGTTACCAATCGAATCCGAAGTTTACAGAGATTCTTTCATGCATTTCGAAGGGAAATTCCTTTGATACTATAATTGTCATCTTCAGTTGCGAAAATCATCACATGTTACTGATAAACTTCTTTATGAACAAAAAGTATTGTTTGGCGGTCGAAAAAACAAAAGATAACAACCATAACTTAGAGCTTTGCACAAACATGTTTTGGTTAAATTTGTGATACACTTGATTGAACAACAGGAAAGGAACATCATTCGAAATTGTATTGGTGCTAAAAGTATTTTTATTATTATTAGAGTACAAACGTGGTACACTAAGGGCACCAAGAAATGCGCTACACAAAATAATATAACATTATAGTGACATAAAGCGAAGGAAAGTGGATAAAAATTAAACACAATAAGAAGAGAATGGTTAAAAGGCCAGCCCAGTAGGGTAGATTCAAAACGAAATATTCATTACTTTTCAGCAGCAGAAGATAGAAGGAAGCTACAGCATGACCGCCACTTTTTTCGATTCTAAGCCATATCTGTTAACGTCTGAAGCCACTGAGTTGCGTGATCTCCTGAACCTTACTCAGGGAGTCGTGATGCACCAACTGCTGCTAACCCGATACAACTATCCTTCATCCTATGACACCACGTCGTACACTGACCACCTCTCTACTTCTTGTATTCAGTCCCAGGGTTAGCAGATAATGAACGGCGTGAAAGCCGTCGGGACGACATGCGCCACACATGTCGAAGCCGATATTTCAAGATGACTTCACTTACGCTAAAATAAGCACGAAGGATTTGAGAGTATAACGAGATCTTGACCAAGATATATCCGCATCACTGTGATTCATGCAGTACTGTGTTGCTTAGGTTATCCAACTGTTGATTCCTCTCAGCCGATGAACTTCTGTCAGGCAACATACATATTAGACAAATCAGTGTAAAAACTTGCAAAGAAGTGCGTCGTTTCAAGTTGCCATACTTTGCAACAACACACTAAATGACCAAGTTTATATTGAAATAAACAGAAAGAGAAGAAATTGTTTGCTAACACCACCTTCCCATAACACCAGATAAACAGTCATAGATTTTATTTATAAATATGGTGTCATGGTTTGACCACCTGTAGTTTGTTTACCAAACTTAGTCAACACTTCAGCCTGTAAAAACTCATTTTTGCCAGGTTTCCCCTCCTGCTAGCAATTAACCCCTAGCATTTAACTACAAAATAAAGTGCTACACCTCACTGTCACTGTCTTTTAGCTTAGCGACCATATTGCAGACTTCATCGATAGGCTTTAATCAGAGTCGAAGTGTGCATCATTCAGTATTCAGTGTCTTATTCGTATAGAAGTAGACCTTTCAGAATAATACAATATCGTGATTAACTGACTACCAATATCATTAACACATATTACATCCAACAACATGTTGTAAAATATCGATGTTAAAAATATATCAGTCAGTGAAATCAAACCGTATAAGTACAAGTGATTCGTGATTTAAATTCCAACCAGTTGATAAAGGTTTAAACTCCATCTTATTGGTCGGTGTGTGTGTGTGTGGGGGGGGGGGGGGTCAAAAACAGTTCATAAAAGTGGATATTTATTACTAAGATAATATTGGATGGATAACAAAGGTTCACCTATGAGATGGATGATGACTGTTTAAATGAGCATAACTTTTCGAAGGTTCATTGACTTTTTCAGCTTAACTTTCAATTAATGACAAATTGTGTACTATATTGAGTATCTGTCGCTAGTTACTAGCCTGTAATAATCAGAAAAACTTAATTTATTGTTTAGATGTTTTTCATTCATATTTAAATATTGTTTATTTTTTGAATTATGAGTCATTATTCCCATCTTCACTGTCGTTATTGTTTTGGTATATTTCTCCCCATCCTCCTGATCATCCAACTTCAGTCGGTAACAAGGTTCAACGTCGTCGTAAAAGTATCATTGATGTACTGTCTCCACTTGGATTGCGTCCAGTCAATAGCGATAACAGTAGCAGTATGCATAAAGCAAACAGTCACTAAAATATTGGGTGAATAATTGTATAAACATTACTGTTTTATAGCGTGGAAATGGCATCACTTCTCCTTTGGTTTATGCAGTAATTTTATGTCAAATACTGATTTATTTCTTTTCGGTTGTCTAACTAAGACTCAAATCCAGCTGTATGTGTTTCATGTTCTTGAATAAATAGTTTCTCACAGTCTTATCCTTACTGACAGTGATAGTTATAATCTTTGTTTATTGTTTATTCTTGTCCAGTTTTTCTCCCTAGTCATATAGACATTAATAGAAGATTTGTAAAAAGGGGTCACAACACACAAGTTACTAATAGTTCTGTAGATATTCTGTCAAATTTTGTGGGATGGACAAGTAAAAGCACAGGGATCACACCTTCGATTAGTCAATGAAAGTTTAAGCCTAACTCTAACGGAGGAAATCATAACCTAATAGAATAGCTCATTATTTCAAGTAGTTACAGTGCTAAGTTGAATAGAAAAAGAAAGTTACCAAAGTGGGGAATAAGGATTATGGGATTTTCATTTCTCAGAATTTAATGAGATTGTATGCTGCGCACATTATTTGTTTCTACCAGATTCCTCGCACTGAAACCCCTATAGCACCTCATAAAAATGTACCACATGTTTGATTAACTTGATCATTATTAGTGTAGTTGAGACAATGGCATATTGTATACAGTCAGAGTTAGAGTACGAATAACTGTGCAGTGAACCTTTTATCATTCTGTTCGAGTTGAAAGTTTCTTTTATTGGTAGGTGATCAACTCATACCTATCAAAGTTCCTTGGACAATTACATCTTCATAAACAGCTATTTAGATACCTCCAGAGGAAGATATGTAAATTATACTAGTTTATGAATATAATTGTTTTTATATTATGCCGTCGTTGATTGAACCAAATTGATCGCTCTCTATTGGCATATGGACTCCTGTGCGGATGCCTCGATATTACCTGTGCTCTAATTATATTAATGATGGATAATGGCAAGCAGTGGAGTCCAGGATGCGCATTTCGTCCTATTTGGGACTCGTCAGCCGGATGTATCTGCTTCCCAGTGGTAATATCGAGGCATCCGCGCGAGGGTCCATATGCCAATAGAGACCGGTCAATTCGGTCCGGTCAACGACGGTATAATACAAGCAATAGCACTAAAACTGTACCCATCGCACAAGAAGTGGCTATCGTGGTTGGATGGTGTAGTGGATAACGCCCTGGCGTTTAAAGCGATCGCTCCCGAGTCCGAATCCCGGTAGGAACAACACTCACTGGGAAGCAGGTACATCCGGCTGACGAGTCCCAAATAGGACGGAATGCCCATCCTGGATTTCACTGCTAGCCACTATCCATCATTACTGTAATGATTTATCCTTAGATGTTTTTGAAGGTAATCAGCAGGAAATCCAGCTTGGCTTAGGTTTCAAGCATTCTAGGAAAATAAACTAGTACTTCAGTGCCATATAATATTCTCATTTACATCTATGAATTGGGTTGGGAAAACCTAACTATCTTGACGGAGGAAATACAGAGAATGCTAGAGAATTCTTAGAAGCTTGAGGATCAGGTCAGTAGGCATATTGGTACTGGTCCAGTTTGTCAACCGGTAAAGAACAGCGACAAGGTCAGGTCTCCTAACAGAGAACCTGGATAAGTGTGAAGACCACGACGATGCAATACGAAATACAACCAGTCACGCCCGAAATCGTCAGAACAAAGTACTAAGCCACTTGTAGAGAAATTGCTACTGATGTGTAGCTCCAGTATTCGTATCATCCAACATCATAGCGTTATCTATGTATGCTGAGTATTAAATATCAGGAAGACTTACCATTTCTCTGCCGAATCGGCACTTATGTTGCAACTTACTGGGCATGCGAAAGTTTCTGTGCTGCCATTGCTTATTGTAGGCTGGTTCCATAAGAAACGGGAATCCTAACTGGAATCTAAATACGTTCGGCCAGTGGATCACAAGTTTAGTGTTAGTTCTACGCTGATGTTTTTGTAAGCTAGGTAATATCGCTCACTATTACACAACAGGTTCATTTTTTAACCCAGTAGGCAATATGTACATCTGGTTGATGAGTTTCGTTATATTGAAACAGGACAACTGGTAGATAGTACCACGTATCTAAACAAAAGTTCTGTATAATGATAGAGATTAGTCACTTCAGTTCGAAATTAAAGTGTACTCAAAAACCATATGCGTGTTTGTGCAGTAGGCAGTGAGCAACACATATTGTGTGAGGGCTAGTGATACTAGCTAACTGTCAAGATGTCGGTAAGTAGAACATGGTTCAAACCCACCGGTGTAAAGTCGAGACCAATGAACCACAGCTCCGGTTTGGTTAGTCAACCATGGGGAAATAGCATGCTGTAGATGTGTCAGTTGATAATTCTCTGCACTTTGAGAATGCGATGGGGAAGTATATTGCTACTATGGTGTTTGGTCTTAACTAAATGTCGTAATGCTGATATTCTGTCGTACTGTTTCAGTTAAGTTAAATTATACCCTGAAAGTCAATGACCCGAATAGTACAGTAGTAATAAAATTGACTAAAACACTGGATGGTATAGATTCTAATCTCATAAGGAGCATTGTTTTCTTGGAGGTCGCAGATATACGCCTTGCTAACTAGCACCAAAAAGTACGAAGTAGAGCTTTCTGCTGATTGCTTTCAATTAACTAACATCCATCAAATCGCACCTCAATGATAGTCGTATTCCAGAATGATTGATAGAATTCGATTAGGACTAGACAACATGAAGTTAGTTGCTCTTTAGTAACCAATTCGTGTTCATACTAATTAATCCAACATTATAGTTAAATAATACTTGTTCAAAACTGTGTAGAGCGCTACTGCTCGTCATCTTACTGATAGTAAGTATGAAGTCGATATTCAGAAATCGTTCAAAATAATTAAGAAATAGATGAATTCGAATTTGCTGCTTATCGCTGAAGCGTTATCCATTAAACGATAGCAACCAAATTTAGGTGTTCAGAAGGAAATGGTTATCAGTTTGTGCCTGCCACAGCAAAGTCTTGTTTTGTTGACGAACATCATGCTTTTCATATATCATTGTTGGTTGCGTAAAAATTGGTTTTTGTTGTTATTTTACTTTTCACACCCTTGACCTAATTATCTGAATCCTACTCACATTCGCTCTTAGTCAACATAAATCTTATGACCTTTCATACATTTTATGCAAACTTTCTTAATATGTTGAATACACTTGTCTCCGCCACTTTACCGAACTTCTACTCTGGAATATTGGTCTATTTATTCACCCAATTCCTGTTCCCAATTACTTTATATCGATGATATCGTTGATTCAAGCCTACAGTTTTCTATCAAACTGATTCGAGTATGCAAACATTCTGTATAAATTAATGTAAAAATTGTCTTGGATTGCAAGCAACTGATGAGAAACCATGAAATAAAATGGACCCGTGCTATTTTACCAAAGGTGTTTTTGCTCTATTTAAATTTGTGAAGGGGAAAAATTGTATTGAACTGTGTAGGGTATTTGACATTGGTCTAGACATCATTTCCAGCGAAAAGAAACCACTAGAACATCCCTTATCTGAGGTGTGAACACTTATTATCATATCAAAGCAGACTTTTCATACACAAGTGAATAATCTGTGAAGAGAATAATTCTCAAATTTCGACAGATTAGATTTATGTCATCTTTGAATCTATGCTTGAAACCATGGGTTGGTCATACATGAACTTCACTGCTAACAATAATGGTTATTACACAACATTGAAATCTGTGTACTGCTTTTAGTTGAAAACTAAATAATTATTTGTTGTATCCTGCCTACTTCATCAAGTTGTACAATTAGAATATAAAGAAATAGGTTATCGAATGGTGTATTGAAGTTCAGATAATACTAAACTTGGGCATACGAATATTTCCTGCTAGCATTATACATTATATACAGATATTGTGTATTTCTTGTTAGTGGTAACTACTGACTTTATCGAGTGGAATCAGTCAGCTTTGAGGAGGGAACAACATACCATTTCTCACCCTCCCCGACTGTTTCAGACACTAATACTTATGTAGTAATGATGAGCAGACAGCGTTACAACATAACGATAAGTGACAGTCATACAATGAGAAGTTTAGGTCCTAAATGAGGCTGCACAAACTGGTTTGAACGATGTTTGTGAGTGGGAGTGTATCCTAATAATATTGTTTAGATCTTGGTCTTTAGCGGGGAATTCCTTATCTTTGCTGCTGATCAGTTTTACTATAGTTATTGGCATGAATGCAGTATATCCATGTAGGAATGAAACAAACACTGAAACTTCGTATCTCATAGTCAGTCTTACTGTAGTAAATAACTGTTGCGCCAGGACCTTATGCATCTATAGATAACATCAGTTGTGTTCCTCAAATCTTTCCTTACGAAATCCTTTCACAAAAAACAATGTTTTATCTTGAAATGGTAGAGAATATATATGGCTAAGGTGGATGATCTTGATTGTATTGTTTTCTCTGAGCTGGGTTGTTTAATCGTGAAGCTTTCATCGTCTCTCCAGACGACATCAACAGCACTAACCTCAGTACGAAGTGAACTGTCAGTATCTCTCTGTCAGTGATTCAGTACCTTGCTCTGACGAACTGGTTTGTGATCGGCTATATCCTTTGATTATTGTGTCACTGACTTCGTAGATTTTCTTGTTGTCTGTTCCACTTCCCGACTTCTGACCATTCTGTTGTTTATCACTTTTCTTATTGGTTGATAGATTGGGTCTATGTTTATAGATCTATTGGTTGCTGACTGACCCAAATACCAAGCCTCTAGGACTTCTCTGATATTCTTTGTTTCCTCTGTCTAAAATTTCTAAATTGTCAAAATTGAATTCATGTCCAAAGTTATCCACGTGAATTGAAATGAGCGATGATGTTTAATGTTCAATTGGTGTTCATGTAAACGAAGTCGAATAGGGCGACCACTTTTTCCAATGTAGTGTTGATCACAATTGTTGAAGTTGATTTCATAAATGATATTTGGTTTGTCTTCTTTGGCTGTTGCTGATGATGTCGTATAGAAAGACGATGAAAGCTTCATGATTAACAAACTCAGCTTAGAGAACACAATACACTTAAAAGTGTTTTGTTTCATTGGAAATCCTTGACTTCAGCTCGGATAATAACATCTGTAATGAACACTCTTTGCTCTAGTTTTACTCCTAAATTGTATTTCATGAAGATATATCAGCCCCGTTGAACT